AGAAAAATCTATCCTCAATCTCTTTTCCACATATTAATCTATTTTACTCTCTATCTCTCTATCGCTATCTATCTATTAATCTATCCTGCTCTCCTTAGTTATCATACTTCTCTCATATCTCACTGAGACTATTTTTTCTCACTATACATGTCTCTCATCTAAATTACTATAAAATCATCTATCCTTCGTCAATATTCAGATCTCTCTTCTATCTTTTGTATAACTGATCTATCTCATCTATCTATCTACCTTTCCAACCTATCCAATGACAAAAAAAGCAAATTGCAAGGGAGAAAATAATAAAAACAAACTGACGAATTCTGTCTACTGATCGCTACATCGAACTATCCATCTTCTCTCCACTCCAGTTTTTTCCTTCCCTCGCCGCTACACTTGGCTTAGGAGTCGAGACGCTGTGTTCTCGTTTGCCGATGTAAACTACACACCTGACGCAGATAATAAGACGCTAAATACTCTTTTGGCGACGCAAACTACGCACCTGGTAAGTATTATAACACGCTAAATACTCTTTGGCCGATGCACACCTGGCGTAGATGCTCGCTAGTGACTCTCATCGAGGTAAATTCTATACCCTGGCTTAGATGCTGAGACCCCGAGCCCTAGGAGTGTTCGCGTACCACTCTCCTTCCCCTGCGGATAACACGGCTGCCTCCCCTTAACCACGTCGCTACCACGCTCGGAACCCTTTCTGTGTCACCAGGGGTATAGCGGATTAGGGATGATCTAGCTCGCTTGGGAATAGGGGACTGCTGTTCTCTGTATTAGTCTAGTAAAACTATGGATTGGTTTAGGTATGGATAAGTTGTGGTTTACACTAATGGTGTTTTAGCAGGATACTTACGACTGAGGAAAAATATGATGATTTATTGATAGTCTCTCTCTCATTTACAAGTGATATTATTTTTTTATCGTATTTGTAGAAAACTCCTAGCACTGGATATGTGACAATCAGAAAAAAAATATGGAGATTAACTTTCGATAACTAAATCGAAAGTACTTTCTACTCAACTGACTGTTATCACGTGTTATTACAGTATGTTCTAAAGCAAGCATATGACGACTAGTTGCTAAAAAAAGTGATGTATATCAAAACTTATGAAACGATGTATATAGTAGCATGATCTTGTATCTATACACTTTATGTACCTCAGAGTACGCTACCCAACTACAAAGTCGCAAAAGTTACTTTTTCACTATCATCCTGATTCACTTCCTATCTCAAGACTGTCAGTCACCAAATGATAACCCAGGCATCCCCCTGAATCCTCCCCAGTCCCTATCGTTCCCGTCGCGTCCTATCGAGTTCCGAGAGTGTCGCGAGGCGGGGCCGGGGGGCACGGGACGAGCCATGCGGCATGTAAACAAGGTGACGCCATGCAACGCGAGGACAGCTAGCACCAAACCTGGCAGCTGCCAACACTCGACCCCTCCTGGTCACTACCACGGGTTGGGGGCGCACCACCGCCTCCACCTAACAACGTCAGGGACTTTACCGACCCTTTGTCACTACCAAGTACATTGTCTATGCTGCAAAAACGGAGAAGATTGAGAAGGTTGAGTGTTTATGTACATGGTGGAGTATCGCAGAGTATCTCACACAGGAGGTCCACACAACCACCACCTTTACCCACTAGACTTTCCCCCACATGATCTACAGTAACGACGTCTCGAACACATATCCATCACGCAGGATGAACGGACCATGAAAATCCCCCATAAGCAAAGTCCAGTCTAAGGTGGTGACTGTTTCACAATTCAACATTCAAAAATATAGTCCACTGTATAATCATGATATATCAGTCAACATCTTGCAGAACAGGCGTCCCTCGCTATGATTGCAGGGGGTCGAGGCCGAGCTGAGTCTCCGACGCCCTACCTTACGTTGGACTGCGAGAGGCTGCCCTGTCGACTCGGCTGCCCCTGGGAGTCGATAGGCTCATGTTGCTCGTCGATGGAGCGGGAGAGGCTGATGCGCGACTCGTTGGTCTTGGGCGGCGCGGCGGGCGCTGCTATGCCCATCAGCCGCGCAAACAAACTGGGCTTCTGTGGTGCCACCAGCGGGGGGTCAGGGGGGGGGTCAGGAGTTCGAGACAAGGAAGCTCAGGTTGGTCTGAATTCAGCCGCTCTTTTGTCACAAACACTCAAAGGGCAAAAGCTAAAGTTAAGTTAGGGCTGCACTAATGCTTAATGCTTTCTTGTAATTAGTTTGAAACTTGATATGCAAAACACATATTGAACTGACTCTCAGTATTGAAAACATCTACTGGATAGAGAGAGAACACAGTGTAAATAAAACAACAACAAAATAACATAACATTAACAGCTTCCATATTTCGAACTGCTATAAACATCGATTTGAACATCAGGATTTATAATATAAGTTGCGAGTGATTTATAAACATCAACAACAACAAGAATAAAGAAATCAATTGAATGCGGGATGATAGAGGAAGAAGGCAGTGAGCGTGTTGTGGGATGACAGTAATAACCCACAAAACTGGCAGTAAGGTCGAGTCTCCCATGCCATGTTACATGTAAACTCGCCCTTAATTGAGCCGACTCATTCGACTTTGCCACATGCTCCTAAAAATATACATATATATCATCAACTACGAAACGGGAGAGATTTAAAAAAAACAATAAAAAAAGGGGGAAAATATATGTAAATAGAACAATTAAAAAATGAATATTTAAGGTTTAAAGTTTAAAGTGCATTATTTAAATACATATTCCCTATTTTTTTTCTCTCTCTCACTTGAATTCTACGTTAATTCCTTTCGATCTGACGGAAGGGTAATATTTTTTTAAAAACACACAAAAAATAAAAAAAAAAAAAAAAAAAATCGAAAAAGAACACGTGCCATAGTCATTTGCGTCGATTTGTACGTTGGTACCGTCACCCACTTCCACCCTCGCTTGTTGTTAGATACTGATATCATCTTCATCGTTTGTTATGTAAAACACCGTTACACACAATGGGTGAAAAGCTCAGCACGAAAGGAATAAGTTGAAAAAAATATATATACTGTATGTAAATAAACCAAAAAAAAAAAAAAAAAAGGAAAAAAAAACTTGTCCCAATATTACATAGATTTCTTAGTGCCTTGTTTCAATTGTATATATATGAATTATTTAGCAGATGCATGGTGGATACTTTTTAAAATGTTCTATAGACCACAGTCACTATCAAGGAGTCAATCACTATTAAAGATCACATCACTAGTTTACGGAATCCGGAACCATCGCCCAAGATCGATTTTATCTTTGTTTCATAATTCTTCCACTGATAAAGAGAGATAAAGAAGAGAGAAGAGAAAGAGAAAAAAAGAGGCAGAAGGTCCATTACCGAAAGAATCTCAAAGATCCTCCAAAACGCACTTGAGATTATACCACCTCCTTCTCCTCCTCCTTCTCTTCCTTCTTCTCCTTCTCATTCTCTTCTTTCTTCTCCTTCTCCTTTTTTTTCCCCTTGGGCTATGGTTGGCGGTGTAATGTACACTAACGTGGGGGGCGGGCGACTGGCATGCGAGCCTCTAGAAGTTGGCCTGCCGGAACCTGCGTCTAAGGCCTTCGTATTTCCATCATCATTTTTGTTCGAGTTTGGAACACAATCTACACTACACATTTACATATACAAACGCATGTCCATATTACACCTATTTGCGTCAGGACTACCTGGTGGCGTCGGTGCAAAGAGGTGACTAAAGTGATAATAGTAATTAATATAAAAAAAAGGTAAAAATACAAAACAAATGAAAAAGGACATAAAGAGTGCGTGTTCGAAGACGCAGGTTCCGCCACGAAACGCGTGTCTCCATTAGTGAGGAGGCACCCAGACATATAATGGAACCCTCTTGGAGAACCTCAAACACATCTTGGATTGGAAGCAGTTCTTTTCACAGCCTTGCAGCGGGTGTTCAATGTAGTTCTAAGACAGGTTCGCGTCCGGGTCTGTTTATGCCAAGGTCAGGGCGCTCTCTTGGCATTGGTCTGACGTGGTCTAGCGTTGCTTCTGTGCCCAAGGGACGGAGCCACGAGTTTGGACAAGCAAGATCACTGGAAGCTACGGAGAATACCGCCCTGGCAAAGCCTTTTTTATGGCGACTAGTATTTTGGCTTATTGGCTTACTGCAGACTGTTTTTTTTCGTGAATGACAGACGTGGCTGTGAGCTTTACTCGCTGATCACGCTGTTCTGAGGTGCGAGTTGATTACCGTGACATCATTTGGTCTTTAACAGACGGTCAAATGCCACACAGGGTGCCATTGAAGAATCCTTTTTGATACAAATCATAATTTTTCCAAATGACATTCATATCTTTTAAGGGTGCCAAAAAAGAATTCATTCATTCTTATTTTACGATGTTAAAACAATTCAGATAAACACTAAGTTTTATTTTCTTTGTTATAAGAATGAAGCAAAAAAGGCTACTTATCGATGATCAATCTCGAAGGTCTAACTTTACTTGCATCTTTAAGCATTCTCAAACCAAAAACTCAAAAGAAGCTGACGCAACCAAGAAAAAACAGACCCGGAACATCTACCGTTCCTGGATACGTTTTTTGGCCAGTGGGAGGAGCGGCACACAGGTTATGCAACAGAAAGCGAGTTCAGTGTTGGGTGTACGTGGTGTGACTGGCAGATGGAACCTCGTTGCAAACGCCCCTCGCAAGTTGGGACAATTTGGAAAAAAAATCACTTCTTGTTTTCACATTTTCCAGATTAATGAAAAGGTTTCATGCTTCATTCCGTTACCTTTCCTTGCTTGTGGTACGAGTGAGGCTCGACCAGGAATTCCCCAGAATTTTCCCAAAGCATCCTCGGCACAGAGGTCGGGATCTCGCCCAGTCTCACCACATACGCACAGAATATGCATAACGCCATACTCTTCACTTTTAAGTAGAACAAACATGAGCAAAAAAGTAAGATTTTGATGGTAAGATTATTAAAAGAAAATTAAGATATTCTCAAAATACTACCGCATCTATCGGGGAGTCTGGTGCTCTTTCCTGCAAATGAAACAACAAGACAAGGTGTGTCACTCACTACAACAGGCGCCAAGTACTTTCATACCAGGTACCAAATTATTATCGTCAAGTCGAATTCACTACCCAGTATATCGGAAAATTTGTCACATGAGATAAAAAAAGGGGGAGGGAAGCATATACACCCGCGGTCACTCAAGATGCTGTTGAGACTCGTTAAGCCGAGGCAAGTGTACAAGACATGGACCGATGAATGGCTAGGTAGTATTAGCAAAGGTTTTTTTTTCTCCTCTTGCTCTGGAGGAGAGTCGGAACGGCGCCCTGAGTGGCCGCAGGTGTATGACACATAAAAAGACTCCTCCATCAGGATAATCATCATGGTCTTATCATTTCTTTAGAAGAAAATATTCTCTCTCATTCAACAAGGATAGTGAAACGTGAACAGAGTGGGAGTGGTCGACTCAAAGATGGAGAGGTACCGGGCGTAACAACGACAGAAGGTCAGCACTGGTATTGGCACTAGGTCATACAAAGGGGGCACAGCTACCTCTACTCAGCTTCCATTCAACCATTGTTCCTGTACTCAAGACTCTTTTCTTCTTTTTACCTTTTCTTCTCTTTTTTTAAAGGGCAAAGGGGAGTAGTTTTTTTTAATGATTTCCTTATATATATATATATATTTTTTTTTCTCCCTTTTATTTTATTAAGATCTTTCTCTCCTTCTTCGGTCACTTTCCGCTCGTCGCTTGGGGGAAATCTGCACAACACTCGCAGGTGGCTGAACGTCTGCAATTTTCCCCCCGTCATGGCGACAGTCTCTTTTCTTAGAAGCAAAGAAGGAACAGAAAGAGCGGTCTGTGCTCTTTACGCAAACAAAACGAAAAAACAAACAAACAAAAAAAATCCACGTGGAAATTGCCAGAGAGCAAAAACAATGGTTGATGCAGCTTGTTCATGGATTCTTATTTTGCCGGAATTATCTCTGCCTTAAGACACGAAAAGCAACATTGCAGAGACAAATATCAAATAACATTTCCTTCTTGGGTCATAGTAGTAGGCCTACCCGTGAGAAATACATCCAAAGCCGAATATATTTCCACGGGTATACTAAAAGATCCCTTCTCTTGATTTAATATAATATGTGATAATGGTTTTCCCGCGTCAAAATTTAAAAATCCAATCGATTGCCAAGTCAACAAAACAAGACCTCCAGAACACTTTTACTGAGCAAAAAATAATGCCATGGACAAAACTGGGTGGGGAGGGGGAGTGGAGGGGAGGGGGAGGTGAAGGAAGGAGGAAGAGGAGGGGGCGAGAGAGGGACAGGGACGAGGGGGAGGGAAATGGATATGGGGAGGGGGGGAGGGGAGAGTAGTGAAAGGGGGCGCTGTCTAATACTAACAAAGAACGCTAAATCACCATGGCTCAATAAACACACAGAAAAGACACGCACACACACATGTAATAAATCTCATATCACAGTCCTACAAACATGATCATCTATGTTGTGGAAACTATGTGGCTCTCACTGCAAAGATAAAACGGCCACAGTAAACAGGTGGCCACTATAAAGAGGTGGTCACTATAAAGAGGTTTCACTATACATGTACGGACAATAGGAGAGGATACTTGTAACCTGGGTCTGTATCCCCTTACAAAAAACAAAAACCAAAAACCAAAAACAAAAAAATCAAAATGGGTTAACAGGTGAGGGACTGGTATAAGGATAAACATTGCAAAGTATCAACAGATCCATGTGAGATGGTAAACAGGATAGGTGTAGTAACATGGCCTAAATATTATCCATGTGATAAAAAGTTCTATGGTGCCACTATGTAAAAAAGAGATAATATAGGTTATAAATTCATCAATGACCATCGTAAGCTTAATTCTACAAAAAAATCGTCAAATGTATAAAATTTCTATTCGGAGGTCATAGCTACACACTCGAGCATCCTAGAGCAGTACCTTGAGTACATACTTAACCTAACACTCAGAACTGGCAACACGTAACATTGTAATTTTGTCTCACGTGCCAACATTCTTGCAAGAATCACTTGGAGATACACCTTAAAAAGAGAAGCAACCAATGGGAAGTATCGAGTACCGAATCCCAATGTTACGCCTCAACAAACGAGTTACTGTGAACGTGCTGTAAGGAGACAAGTGACTCTGGGCGAATGCAGGCACTGGCCTTCCTCTCCAACTGGGCATAGCAACAGAATTTTCAAGTGTTGTATAAAGGTACAACCAGATACTCACCATCAACCTTGAATGCTCCAAATTCTTAACAGAGCCGTGAATTGGAGAAGATTCAAACTTTGATAATAAGCAAACTGTCTTACCCTTTACACAACTGCCTGTTCTTCTGGACTTATTTCTACAGGTACTGCCAATAAAAACCATCAACGTGTTCTACTTGTCCTGGTAATCTAATATAATACCATTAAGCTACTGGTACACAAGTCCCAGTACCATATTAAGCTACTGGTATACTAAGTCAGCCAACAGCAAGGTGTTTGTACCAATTATGGATCTGCTAACGAAGCGGTGTTTACTCAGTGGCTATAAGGCATGTTTGTGTGGCACAGATACAACCACTTTACGCGGCTCAGAAAACAAACGCGTCACACACAAAGCTCAAATATGGAAAACAAAATATTCCCACCCAAAGCTTAGAAACTTTGAACACTAAGGTTGAAAATCGAAATTCTATTTGGCAATTACCAAAAAAAATTAAAGAGGGAGTAAATCTTGAAAACCGAGTAAAAATAAAAGTATCTGCATTTACCACCAAAACATGCCAAAAGTGAACAAGGCACTTCATTGTTTTCATGGAGAATACTGGGCTGAATGTCAGCTATGTAAAGTCTGAGGAGCAAGGCTGGTTTTCGCACAGCCAGTGGACGGCTGCAGTCAACATGGGCCAAATCTATTCTGGGACGAACGACTTTTATCAGTGCCAAGATACTGTAAACATCGAGTGGGCGGTGATTAATAGTACTTCATGAGGTGACTAAAATAGATCTTATAGTATCAGGATACTGTATATATATATGTAAAGATATAGGGTTGAGTTCATATCATCTATTTTATATCTGAAGTGAAAAAAGAGGGGCGTGTATATATACTGTATGCTTTATACCAACTATTCTCATTAGTCAAGTGGGTGGGAAGCAGGTACTGGTTGAAGCACACTGATCTAGGCCACACAATAAGTGTAACAGGCCTATAACAGCCGTCTTACTGATTCGGTTTCCTGCTCCTCAGTTTCCCCTGTATCCTCAGTTTCAAATGTTTCCTCCGTTCTCTCTGTTTCGATGATTTGGGTCTCAGCTTTTTCCATATTGCTCAGGAGCTGTTCTCCCTCCCCGCATAATATGTCCTCCGTTGACTCAAACTTTTCATCCTCCTCATCATCCTCCTCCTCCACTACCTCATTCTCTTTATCTTTTGCTTCCTCATTCTCATCCTGCAAGGTTTTGAAGAGATTTCTTATACATCTACCTCCTAAGTCTTAAACTTAAAAAAAAGAACCCTTTAGAGCTCTAGAAGATATAATGTTGAAATGAAAATAAAAAAACGAGAAAAGAAATTTTCATTAATGAACCATGTCGCAATCAGGGCGTTCCATCATTACATGACAAAAAACAAACAAAAAAAAAAAAAAACAGAAGAATAAAAAAAAAACAATTCCTTCGCAGTGCGGAGAGGATCACACACCAATATGTCCCTGATTGTGACATAACAGAACGCAAACCTAACAAAAAAAGAACTTGGAGAAAGGTCAGCTACATCCCCAGGCAGAGGAGAGAGGTAGACACAGAGAAAGAGAGGAAGAGAGAGAGAGAGAGAGAGAAAGAGAGAGAGCACATCGCACTGACCAGGCCTCCCGTGGGTTGGATCTGGCCGAAACGGGTCGTCCGCCAGTTTTCCAGGATGAGTAGCGCCCCGTAGATTTTACCCACTGTCAGTTTCTCGTATTTAAGTTCTGCAAGAGAGGGTTTGTGATGAGTTTTTGAAATAATTTCTTTTAGGGGGAAGGAAAATTAGGGGTTTTGGGAAGAAGAGCGATGTCGTTGATTAATATCTTCTTATTTTGTTAAGAATATCTATTCACATGTCTATTCGGAGTATCATTTTGGCACTGTTATCAGCACCGAAAGAATAAGGTACAACAACAAAAATAATTAAACTTGTAATAAACACACCTAAGACTCAAGACATAATCCCCAATTCCCAGCGTCTCACATATTCCCCTCCCCCCTCCCCTCCCACCCTTCCTACCCCCCCTTCCACCCTTCCTACCCCCCCTCCCACCCTTCCTCCTCCCCTTCCCACCCCCCTCCCCTTACTACCCTCTTCTCCCTCCCCACTCCCCCCAACCCCATCCCGCCTTCCCCGCCTTACCATCATCTGGAGGCACTATGAAGTCAAGATTCTTTTTGGCTTGGAGTGGCCACAGTTTCTTGATGGTGGCCCTCAGTTCCATGTCCGCCTGGTCCATCTCCTCCGCGGGCCTCATCTTGATACACAGGTTCTCACGGATGAGCGCAAAGAGCGTGGTGGTGAAGTGGACCTGCCGGGGTGATGAAAGGGTTATAGAAATACTTCCCTCATACCCTTTCAAAAATACGTTTCTTTCTTTTTCTTTCGTTTTTTTGGGGGAGGGGTGATGGACTGTCGTAGGAAGGGATTTTTTGGGGGAAGGGTGCGCTTGTGATGATATGTTTGTTGTAATTGTGATGAGAGTGTGGTGTTCCTCTTATCCTCTCGCTGTGGTGGTGCGTGGGTGGTGATGACAGTTTGTTCTTGTCGTGAAAGCTTTTGGTGATGGTGTCGATGGAAGAGCTATTAGGGGGCGAATGCATGATCCTATACATATGTGACGTTAAGAATCTTTAATGGTTGTGGTGAAACTGTGGTGAAGTTTTTGCAAGAAGAGTCATAAGTTGCTATCTCTGCTAACTCAAGTATGACTCGACTGGCAGCCTGTTGACTAAAGCATGTTCCTTAAATGACATCCTCTGTTGAGTAAAATATACCAGTTGAATGATAAACTTCGCTAATTAAAGTATTTTCCTTGACTGGTATCCTCTTTTGACTATAGTATTTTCTTTAAATTCTCTGTTAAATAAAGTATGTTACTTGACTGACATCCTCTGTTGACTCCTTCACTGACTAAAATATACCTCACAACTTAACCCTCCACTGACTAAAGCACAATCCTTTACTTAACAACTACCCCCACCCCCCCCTAAACACACAGGCACACTCACCTTCCCCTCATCGTCCAACGGCATGTTCATCCGTATGAGTTTCTTGTAAGCTAACCGATACGGACACTTGTTGCCGAAGCCTAAGGGGGGGTCCATGTTTCTTAACATGTCGTACATCTCTGTGTAGTGTATTCTTCCTCTGCAAAAGTCGTTGAGGTTAATATCCGTCTTTCTGTCTATATGTCTATCTACTTATGATGTGGCTAGAGTGATAAAAAAGACTTATGTAAAGTACCTGTAGTTCTGTGAAACCTGAGAAGTTAGTTCACGTTAAAGAAAATGTCAATAGTATGGGTTAAGTAGACAACTTATATAACATATAAAAATGGTCCGATGTTAGCGAGGGAGAAGGTGGACGCATCTGAAATGGACATTGTTATTACAGCGAGGATAATAATAAGAATAATTTCCAAATCTTGAGAACAACTGCCTAAATAAAGGCAAGTATTCTGAAACGAACATTACAGATGATAACAATAAGGGTAATCATTTAAAATATATATACATATATATTTCAAAATGTTGAGGACAATTACCAAAAAAGTCAGTCCACCGAACACTCGGAATTCAAACAACGAACTTTATCATTTTTCATTTACTTTTTATTTTTTTTCCCATGACCAACCATTCCTCACGACAACCCCATGAAATTCAACACCGCGTCTGTTTAACGTTACAGAGAACCCTAGCAAAGTCAGCGCTATCCTTCACGGGCATAGGATCGAGACCAAGACTCCTGAAGGAAGACAGCATACTCACGTGGCGTTCGGGTCGTATTCCGCCCATATTCTGATGTATTCGTCGAGGTGATGGGCGCCCAGGATGGAGGAGTCTCTCGTCAGGTAGTCGAAGTTGTCCATAATGACAGCCACGAACAAGTTTAACATCTGGTAGAAGAGGCGGTGACGTTAGAGAGGGTCCTTGGTTAGAACACATTCATTTTCTTGTGTTTTTTATTTTATTGTTATTGTTATTATTATTCTATCCTCAGTGAACTTCTCTATAAAGATAAATTAGGAGGAATTGATATATGTATACACTGATATTCACTCTTTCACACATGCATGCGTGCGTGCGTATACACACGCACACACACACGCACACACACACACACACACACACACACACACACACACACACACACACACACACACACACACACACACACACTCACCCACACATATCCATTCATTCACTAACTCACTCACTCACACACTCACCCCCCTCATGCACACCACCCCTACCCCCCTACCCTCCCCCCCACACACCCATACCTCCCTACACACACCCATACCCCCCCCCGCCACACACATACCCCCCTACACTCCCCTCACACACCCCACCAACGTACCAAGAAGGAGCAGAGGAAGATGAAAGTCACGAAGTACATGTAAGCGACATTTGATCCACACGTCTTCATGGAGTTGTTCTTCAGGGCGTCGGGGTCACAGGGGCGTCCCTTGATGCAAGACAGCATGATGCTCTGCCACGCTTCACCCGTGGCACATCTGCCCACAGCATCAACGTGTTACTCGGGATTTTACTCTAAGGATTATGTATCTCCCTGTCTGCCTACTCTTTTTTTTTTTTTTTTTTTTTTGCACAAGTCGCTCACAGCCCGTGGCAAGTGTGCGTGAATGCTAAGGCAGCTCTCTCGCCTTTTAAACTTAAATTTATTAATGCTAAGAGCTTCTTCATTAATGCTAAGAGCTGGTGCTACCGTAAAAAGGACGGGGCTGTGATTATCTACTGAACTATGCTAAGGCTAATTCGCTACTTCTAATCATTGCTATAACTGACTATATTTTTTTTCTCTCCTTTTGGAAATTGTAACGCCCGGTAGTGGGACGATAAAAAGGAGAATATTTATATTTTTTTCCCCTTTCTAGATCATAATAATCATCTTCAAATGATGCAAAAATGTTATAAAGTCAGTTCTTCAAAAATGGTGAAACGGGTAAGTTTTCTGCAGATCATCTCTCTTCATATGACAACAGGAAGGTCTCTTAAGCACCTTGTGGCCAGGAAATTAGCTTCATTTGTCGTTGTGGAATTTTCTCTTAATGTTGACGATATTTTTTATAGTATCTAAATTTCCCTTTAATGTTGAGGATTTTTTTCATACTATCTAAATTTCCTCTTAATGTCAACGATTTTTTTATATTGAGATCATCGTTTATTAGTAAACCCGTAACTGATAAGCGGGAAATGAAGGATATTAGAAAAACAAATTAACATACCTTAATGATAATAGTGCAAAATAGTACACTGAATCTTTTAAAGCTCTTGATTATATCATAATTACACTAATAGCTGGACAGGAAAACGATACTTTATTTTAATTTCCACGTGTTAACCAACGAGGTAAATGTAACTGCCATTACATATGAAGAGACGTAATCCACCGAACAGAAATTGATGCTATTTTTTTCTTATTTCTCTAAAATTAATTCCCTAACACACTGAATTATATATAAATATATAGCATTTATTCAGTTTACATTCTACAACACATCATGAACTTCAAAGGAAAGGCCTACCCACAGAAAACACAAATAACACTTATTCCTTACCTTGATGGGTATCTGACAAAAATATCTGACAGAAATATTCATAACCATCTAATTGTCCCTATACTACCAAGCAAGCGTCAGAAGGAGGCCAAGGTGAACTACAGGGGAGGGGGGGGGAGGGAGAGGAAGGGTCGAGGACAAGTGACAATCATTCTAAATCAAAATTTTGTGAAACATTCTATGAGATGGTCGGGTGGGAAGGAGAGGGGGGGGAGGGTAGGTCTCCATTCGAGGGGGGAGAGGATGGAGTTGGGAGAGAGGGCGGGGATGGAGCGGAGGGGAGGGGAAGGGAGGGAGGGAGGGGGGGCAGAGGGGAAATGGGCGGCGTTTGTGAAAAGGGGGGGAGGGCGAGTGTTGAGGGGGGAGAGTCGTTGTGCGGGTTTGGTGATGGTGGTCACAGACTAACCTAAAAGGAGCAGCTATGTGGAGGCTGTGTGTGACTGCGGACCGTGTTGGTGTCTGCCTGCCACTCTACACTGCACATTGTCAGCTGCTCACACATGCATAATGAGAGTGAGTCTACATGTGCGGGGTACCGTGCCAAGATCACAGAGGGTGGTGGTAGTGGTGGTGCTGACAGCTGTGTGGGGCGTTGTGAGCAGGTCTGGTCCATCACGCTACATATTGCATGCTGAGGGCGCTCGCCAGGGGAGGGCACCAGCCAGGGGAGACAGCCACACCATGACTCTGCATGCCATTCAGTACACTGTCGGCATTTTTGTCAGGCACTGAAGAGGACTATCACATACTGTACTGTCCCTTGCGGGTGTATAGTATTTACCACCTCCTGTGTGGTGGTATCAAACTGTGGTTGGGCCTCATCTTCCAACATCGAGTGTAAAGATCGCATCGCTGACTGAAGGTGAAAGATGCATTTGGACTGTGTACATGAGCCACGTGATCTGCGATGCCATGCGACAGAAAGCCAGCCCTCAGCGAGAGATATTCCTCAGATGCCTGCCTGCTGTCCTCGGGTGTGTGTACAGGGCACACTGGCAAGGATGCACCTTGCTGGGACAGCAGTGAGCTATTGCAAGGTCAGAGGTAACTCATCTTTTATGCAACGTGGTGATGCTGATATAATCAGATAAATTGTCATCGCTGGCTACCCGAGGGGAGATCGTCTGATTGTTCCAAGGCATGCTGAGGGTGAGGGAGGTCTTCATGGCAGCCAAAGGTGCACAGAGGAGTCTGTGTGTGGTGAGTCTAGAGCATTTTCACCCACATGGTAAGTCCTGGGGCAACACAGGGCTACACAACCCCTCCCCCACATGGTCTCATCTTGTGTGCACTGGAGCGATGTGACCAGTGGAGACCACGAGGACATGGCCCCGTGGTGCCCCTGGCGATCATGGAGGTGAGGGTGCCCGCCCCCAGGAAGGAACGGCGGACCAGCAACCATGCACGACCACACGTGCCCAACGCTACATAACACGCATGCCGCCACCCGCGCAGACTACGGTGCAAAACTCAACACAAGGAACTCAACAGACTCGCTCATAACGACAATATATTCAACGTAACATAAACCGGAACCAAAGTCGAAAAAACTCTACAATAACATCTGTGTTTGGGTGCAATGATGGTGTTGAATCTGACATGTCTACAAAAAAATCTCAACCCAAAAAAATAAGACAGAAATAAACAAAACAAAAAAGAGAACTAAACAGATCCTCCGTGTTAATGGCCTGCCGCGGAAAATTTTGGTGCTGAGTTTGTATGGCAAGAGTGATCACACGTAGATAACATGTCATTCTACAGCAAGAGTGATCACATCAAGGTTACAGTTCCATCCTACAGCACAGTTACACACCAATGCATAAAATGGCATTCATCTCACAAAATACTGTATCAACAACCCGTGGTTCACATCCAGGAGTCGGGATCAATATAAAAAAAAGTCTTGACCCGGCATCATACAAAAAAGAGAAGAAAGATAGGAAAAAAACGTGCATAGGAAAAATATATCCAGTCCTTGATGGGGAAAAATGTATATATATATATATATCCAGGGGCTGCCCCCCAATGGAAAGATGTGGGCGTTGATACAGTATTTCGTAGCGATGACAGCGGTAGCTTTTGAGGAGCAGAGATGAGCAGAGATCAGTGACAAAAGTTTGGACAGAAGATAAAGAGCCAATTTTGCCGCTGAGCCACTCCGGGTGTGAAGAAGTAACTTAAGGTGGTTTACCTGAACAGAAGCATTATGCCCTCTGCAAAATTTCTAAAGTTGTTGTGCCGTGTTATAGACGTAGTGGGATCCAAATCTATATTACCAAAGACCTGGATGATGAAGGGAAACAAAAAACCATCAACTCAGGATCAATCAAAAATTCCAGAAGAAGTAAAAAAAAGGAAAAAAAAAAGGAAAAGAAAGACGCGATCTCTATACTAGTGGGGTTCCAGGGACACACATCAAAGAATCGGAGGTGTCAACATGAGGGATTTTAGGGATTATGAGACAAGAAAAAAGAGGTTATCCAAGGTCAAGAAAAGGCATAAGAAAGGTCAAAGTTAAGGGCGGGGCCAAGGGTTGTCCTCTCACCAGGGCTCTCAGGAGGGCAAGTGACCAGTCGCTAGGGTCATATCAGGGTCAAAATTCAGGGACATGGGACAAAAAACTCTGCACAGGTTAATATACTTCAGGGAGTAAAACTATCCCTGACCAGATACCAGAAAGTGGGCAAGCACCACAGACACCATCTAGTCTAGGTTAGCTAGTCTAGGCTAGTTGGATTACATATCTAGAGTTACGTTACCTTCTACAAGAAAACTAAACTACAACGGCATCGCCATCTATAGGAGAAGACATGTCAGCAGACAGCTAAACATAACATGTCTGTTCAGGGATATTATCTAGACTTTGGGTGGATTGGGAAAAGTCAATGCTCGATGAAATGGCTCGGTGACGGAGGCGCTGACTGGCTGATCGCAAAGGCCACGATTCTCCAGCCAGCGCCTTCCGTCACTCATCCACATGATCGGGTCTTGGTTTCCGAACGCACCCCACTTTGTCCCAGGATGCTAGGATCTCACTTTGAGGCTACGTCGAACTCAAGGGGATTGGGGGGGCTGCGAATTTGGCCTTTGTGTCATTCTCGAAAGGTTTATTATCTCTGCACTGAACAGACATTTTGTCTCATTGTTCAGGTTTAGAGATGGGATTCAGAAATACTGGATCTGTCTCAGGTTGCTATTGGCCGAGCCTGGGTGGACGGGGGTTGCAAACTCACCGAAACAAGAGCAAGAGAGCGGCGAAGAAAGACTGAAAGTTGTTATGTCGATTTAGGTCAGTGTCGGGGTCAAATTTCATGTTGCCAAAAACCTGGGTGTGAAGTACGGGAGAAAAAAAGACGGGAGAGTGCTGTAATAGTTGGGTGGGTGGGGGAGGCATCGTGCGAGCGGCCGCTGAGGGCCACGTCGCACGACCATAACGGCGGGTGCGAGGCCACGTTTCCCGCTCTTTCCGTGGCCCCGAACCGCTGCCATCGCTCGCTCGGGAACCCAGCATGACAAACCGCAGGAGTGCAATAAGTGAAAGGAGTGATTAGGGGGGCAACCATTAGCAAACATTGCCTGCAAGTTACTGTATTAACACTGAGCGGCCTGCCATCCCGAATCCCGTTCTCATAACAGAACACGAGTTACATGTAGTACAACATATTGGGATAACACTGTGGGCTTCAGTCTTAGAACAGTGATATGGATAGAGAATTTACATAATATAGATATCAATGGAATTTCGGGGATAGATTTAAACATATGGATAGACATTTACAATCAAATGAGGGCACATCAACCCAACACGTTTAGAACTTAAGAGGCAGGACAGTGAAGTATAGGTCCCTGGTGAGGAAACCAGTAATGAACTAATCGTAAATTAATTATTCCAAATATCACTTCACTTAAAAAAAAACAAGTTTGGTTAGAACACTGGTTAAGAGAATATATATATACACATGTTGATTACAAGATATAATGTTTGCATTATTTCAAAAGAAAACAAATATTTGTGATGGTTTTAGAACACAATAAGTCATGACATCATATAACCATAGGAGTTTTTTTCTCTATCATCAGCTTATATAACCATTATCCAGATTTCTAGAGAAGAACCATGGCTCCAAATCTGGGCTTACCTGCATGCCGATAATAGCATAGATGAAGAATAACATTGCTATGAGGAGACAAACATAGGGCAGCGCCTGTGGGAGGAGGGAAGAAGTTGAATTTTTGGATAGTGAAGTCACAGAAATTCTCTCTCTCTCTCTCTCTCTCTCTCTCTCTCTCTCTCTCTCTCTTTCTCTCTCTCTCTCTCTCTCTCTCTCTCTCGTTACCCATACCTTAATTCCATCAGCAGTTTGTAATTTTATCTATCTGTTTTCCTTACATTCTCTCTCTCTCTCTCTCTCTCTCTCTCTCTCTCTCTCTCTCTCTCTCTCTCTCTCTCTCTCTCTCTCTCTCTCGCTCTCGCTCTCGCTCTCTCTCTCACTCACTCACTGTCTCTCGCTCTCGTCTTGCAACAGCTACTTACTTTGAAGGACTGTACGAATGTCCATAGTAGAATACGAATGGTATAGCCTTGCCGAAGAAGCTTTATAAGACGGGCAGCTCGAAACAGTCTTAGAAACCCAACATTGAT